GTTTAGTACCTATTCAGTTCAGTAATCATGTATTCATTCAGTTTAGTATGCACGTGTTTGTGGCATTTCAGTGTTCACATGTTTCCATTAGTCCTGCTTAACGTCTAGAGTTAGTCGTAGTCACAACCAGGACAATCATTGAGGATGAATGACCCCAAGGGGGAGATAATGTAACACTACATAAATCTGGATTAGTTGTGGATGTATTAAATGAGTATTAATGTGACCTTTTAGACATGTGAAGTCCTATCGGGATGAGTATGGGTGGAAACAATTGTTTTAGAATCAAGACCGAGAATGGGGTGCATAAAATTTTATAAAATCGATTAAGTTTATGGGAGGTATGTTTTATAGTCAGACAGTGCAAAGCCATAAAATCTCACGGCCATAGACAGTGCAAGGCACTGTCAAGGGCATTAACATCAGCGCCCCTAATAGTGCAAGGCAGTGTAACATCAGCGCCCCTGACAGTGCAAGGCATTGTAACCTCAGCGTCCCAGACAGTGCAAGGCACTGTAACCTCAGTTCCCCAGACAGTGTTAGGCATTGCAACTTCAGCGCCCCAGACAGTGCAAGGCACTATAGTTTTGGCACCTCTCATGGCGCCTTGCATAGTAAGTTTGGCGCCCCGAAAGGTGCATCGCGCCGACGTTGTTTATCCGAGCTATTTTCATTTTCCTCCTCAGTTTTGGGATGTGTTCTCTTATTTAAAATCCCTACCTCGTTCCCCCATACCCCAAACGCAATAACCTACTCTAGAAAGGGGAGCTCTCAAGGACCCAACTTTCCCAAGGTCCCTCCATCATCCAAGGTAATTTCTAATTATGATTCTAAGCCAATTTCAATTCTCCAACACCTTATTAACATGCGTAAATCCTTTCAATCATTAAATATTCGATCGAGACACCATTGTTGAGAAACAAAACCCTAGAAATTGAAATCAAGAGGATTGAACGTCAAAAGGTAGTGTTTCTACTCCCTAATCATTTATAGCTATGAATTGACGAGTTTTTGGGAGAATTGTTAACGGGTTTGATAAAGAGAACCATAAGAACAATGCTAGGGTTTCGGATTGTTGACTTATGATTGTTGTAAACATTTGGGTGATGAGAAATAGTGTTAGCTACATCTATTTGGGATTGTAGAATCACCTAGAAGTAGTAGAATGAGAACTTGGTGAAGAAAAGACCAATTACTAAGGACTATGAGGCTTTACACCCATAAAGTATTTGATAAAATTCCTAAGTTACCAAAACGTGAGCCGTAGTGCTAATATTGGTTCCTCTTGATATATATTTCCATAGATTATCGTTGAAAGAGGCGACGAAACATTGTGATATACTTAAAGGCCAGACTCAAGGTATGTGAGACTAACTCTCTATGTTTGGGAATGTTAATGATTCTCCCTACACTACGTTTCTTTTACAACGTTACTAATTGCCTCAAAAATATAGTTAAGCCTAGTTCCTTGAATAGTTGTAGAACTTCTATTCTCTAGCTTCATAACTCGTTTATGACTTTCATTCTGAATGTTATGAGCTTAGTGCGTATTCAGTATAGGCTTGGGTTTGATGACCCCAAGTCTTAGTATAGATTACTCAGTATGTTATAATCAATTGAAGTTTCAGTGTTCATAATCAGTTCAAGAATACATGTCTCAGTCTAGTCCTATTCAGTATTCCAGTATTATGTAACTCAGTGTGATTCAGTATTTCAGTATCATGTAACTCAACATGATTCAGTATTTTAGTATCCTGTATTGCATTATGATTCTCAGTTTCTGATTTTAAATTCCTGAATGTTGAACACCTGTATTTGGGCCTGATGCCATAGTTTTTATGCTTTATGCATGTTTGGGTGTGAGACCATAGTTAATGGTTTTTGCATTTTTAGGCCTGAGGCCATAGTTATGTATACATATACTTGAGCCTGAGGCTGTAGCTTGTGCACATATATATTGGGCTCGAGGCCGTAGTTTATTCAGATAAACAGGTTGTTCATCATTTCAGCTATCATTTTTCAGTAATAATTTCAGTTATCAATTATCAGTTATCATTTCAGTTTCAGTTTCAACAGTTAACATTTCAGTTATCAATTGTCAATTCTCAGTTATCAGCTTAGTATTAGTTTTAGCTTTTATAGTTCTTTCTTTTAGTTGCTTTACGTACCAGTGATATTCAAGTGTACTGACGTCCCTTTTGCCTGGGGTCTGTATCTTACGATGCAGGTAATGATTTAGAGGTTCACGATTCAGTGCACTGGGACTCTTGTACCAACTGTGTGGTGATCTCCAGTTCTTTCGGGGAATTATAATTATCTTACAGTCTTCAGTATTTTCAGGCAGTCAATGTTTTCAATACTTCATTAGAGGCTTCATAGACTAGTAACAGTTAGACAGAGTCACAAGCTTTTCTTGTTAAGCAATGTTGGCTATAGATATGTTTCAGACTTGTATTAGTGTTTCCACACTTTGATTTATATCATTCAGCCTTTCAGTATATCAACATGTGTTAGTTTATCTCTAGCATTCCGTATGTTATGATATCACATATTGATTCAGTCTGCAGTTGATTCGCTCGATCACATGTTGTCAGACACCGGGTGCCGTATTACATTCTGGCCCAGGTTCGGAGCGTGATAGGGCATCCTCAGGACCACATCCCAAATTAAATTTGATTTGCGAAGATGATGTCCAATGGTATCACAACTTCGAGCCGGATGGGAGATATATATCTGACATGGAGATCAATGTGAGCGCTTTGGATTGGAACTTCCTTGAGGTGCTAGCAAGGTTGAAAAGTTTGAAGATGGATAAATTACTTGAGTGTCCTGGACATGAAAACTTGAGCATGGTGAAGGTGTTGTATGCAAATTGGAACGAGCACAGGTTCATGTCATGGGTCAGAGGAAAGGAGGTGTCACTGGATAGTGAGTCATTGTGCAAGTTCTTAGGTGTTGACTGTACCCTCTCCTCCCTCCCCCCAAAGATTTTGCCAAAGTTTGTGAAGAGCCGAGCTACACTAATATTCGTCACACTCTTTGTGGGGTATATTCAAATGCCAAGTGAACAAGAACCAAGGGTGATACCCACAATGAGCTACTCCGGGTTGATTTCAACAAGACTACTAAGGTGTGGAAGAATTTTGTGCAAGGTAGGTTGATGCATGTGGAACATAACACTAGATGCACTCGTGCTCGGGTGTTCTTAATTTTCTTTCTGATGACTGGGAGGCTGGTCAATGTTGGTGAGATCATGCTTGGAGAGATGGTCCGTACACGATTTTGGCGGAAGATAAAAAGGTATTTCTATGGTAATCTTCTAACACAGTTTATGTTATCTTGTGAGGTCCCTGAGTAACCTGGGTACAATGACGTGGTGAGATATCTGAAGGGTTTGATGTACATCACATCATTGCTGGATACCACTGCCAAGCTGCGCCCGACGGCTCGGAATGAGCGTGAGGAGAACTTCAACAGAGATATTTATTGTTCACTGAACTTGATGATGAGCCGGATGGGAGTGACTCATGTGGAACAGATAGCTGTGCAATGACTTGTCTTGCGCTTTGAATGAGATGTTAAGGATAGCTCCTAGTAGTCCCATTCACCCATCTGAAGATGAGAATACAACAAAGGATCGGATGATGAGGGTGATGCTACTGCTTAGGTTACGAGGGCGATGACTTTGGTCCCTCTTGGTGCAGATGATGATGAGCCTGGAGCTTTGGATGGTGGACGTTATGATGATGAAGGATTTGAGTATGATCTGGATGGGTCAGAGTGGCAGAGAGTTTTTCTCTCCACCTTACCGTTGTTTTGATATTTTATATGCATCGAGGATTATGCATGATATAAGTATGAGGTGGGAAAATTACTTTTTGTATAGTGTAATTGTACAAACATTGTCATTATTTTTCTTTTTATAACCTGTGGCTAGTAGTAGTCTATCTTAGAGTGGTAGAAAAATATTGAAAATAAAAAAACAAAAAAACGAAAAATAAAACAAATTCAGAAAAACTCGGACTTCTCCCGATAATGGATATCTTGGACAACTTTCTTGAGGGATTAAGGTCCGATTAAAAATACCAAAAATATTTCCCTTTTCTTTTATTAGGATAGTTAAGTACTAATTCCCTTCATTTTTCTTTGGGCGCCGGTTCTTTTTCAAGAGTGCAACTTGAACCGGGTATTTTGATTTTATCATTTTAGGAGTAGGTTAGAAAGAAACTGAGTTGTTCAAGATATCTGTTGACATGTTTGGTGCTTGTACATTTATGCTATGGCATGCGCTTTATCTTCCTGTTGTATTTGATTTGAAAAGTGATGCCTAAGTGAAAATGAATAGCCTATTCTATGACGCATTTTCTCAGTTGTTTGACTCATATGACATTTAGTGCATTATTACTTAAAATTCTCAACTATTTGTGCTTGGTTGACTTGAAAGTTGAACAGAACCGTCTTGATTGAGTTATGTTCAATGTGTGTGTGAGGAGTTGTTAATCATTTTGTACTATCCTGTGTAGTCTAGAAGTTTCCATGTGTGTTAATCAAAGTGGAATCATTAAGTAGTGCTAGTCTAGGGGATGACATAGGTTGTTCTTTGCTTGATCATAGATGTGCTAGTTACTTACAAATAATATTTTCCGTTGTTAGCCTCCTTTGAGCCTGTAGACCTTTCCTTGGAACCCACATTACAAGGCATATCCCCATTTTTGTTCTTCGCTCAAGCTTGTTGAACCTTTACCCCCGAAGGCACTTAGTCGCTAAAAGAAGTAAGGTGAGATGTCTGGAAGTAGCTTTTGAGTGGACTACGAAAGGGCTCACAAGGTGCACTAAAGTTATAAAAAGGGCACTAGCCGATGAACCTTAATGTAAGAAGTGTGTGTAGAAAAAAAAAAGGAGAAGAAAAAGAAAAGAAAAGAAAAAATACAAACAATTAAATATGAACAATGTTGATATTCAAAAAGAAAAAAAAAACACACATCCAAATCCTCCTAATTCGTGCTAGTGGGGATATAGAAGTGCTTAATTGAAAAAGTGTTATGTATATATGGTTTGTCGCAAGGTGAATTTGTTAAGAAGAATATATGCTCGATTGTTGAGTGTAGTGTATTAAAGTGCTTAGGATGGTAAGTCACTATTGCTAAATTATCTTACCCGTCCCTTAGCCTGCATTAAAACCAGGAAATACCTAATTAATCCTTGACTTGGCTGGCTTAGATTAGTAGAGATATACACTATGCGCAAGCTTATGGTACGACTACGGGATGCACATGAACTTCTTTGTGAGAATGAGTGACTTTTTTCGGTTGTGTGATGTCCTTAAACTATGTTCAAAATTATACTTGAATGTGTGAACTACTTTTATAATCACTTTGTTGATCGTTGGTGAGGGCACATGGTCTCATGATGGATTGGTAATGTTGTTAACTTCTCTTGTTGGTGAGTGCGTGAGTAGAAGGTTCTTAGTGGTAACGAGTCAGCTCTTGAGATATGGTGGTTATGGGTAGGTTGTTTGAATTTGTTGAATTGAAACGCTTATACTTTGGCATTTTAATACGGGAATAATGTGAGTTTTGTACGCTTATGCTTGATTGTCAGTATCGATCATAGTCAAGGGTAGAGTGTATTATTGAAATTGAGTTGTTCCTCCACAGTTGAGGTGTAAGTTGTTGGGGTATAGTTGAGAGTTAGAGTGCTCGAGGGCGAGCAAGAATCTAAGTATGGGCTGTTGATATTCGGCTTAATGTATATATATTTATATGCATATCGCCTCGCATTATGCTCATATTTCATGGCTTTTGTATGTGTAATGTAATGATTTATACTCATTCGAGTATTTTTATGTGTAAGAATCATCCGGAAGTGATGTGGGACAAAAGGCACAAGTTGAAGCAAAAAGAGAAGAAGGCGAAAAAAATGCCCAGTCTAGTGCCCAGGACACTGTGTCGCGCTGCCTAGGCGCTAAAACCAGTCTCGAAAAATTCTGGGCAACAAGCCTTTGTCTGCGGCGAGATTATAGTTTCTCAGAGACAAACTAAATGACAAGTCCACCTTGACTTTGCAAGGGGATTGTTAGACCATCCTGATCTTCTCACCATTTGAATTAGATTCTCTTCATAATGATATGGGTGTATATATAGTCAAATTTTCCTAAATTAGCGACGATGCCTCTTCACCATAGACAAGGTAAATGCAAGGTCCACCTCTCTTTCTATCCATCATTCTGAATCTGTTCTTAGACAATCATTCTGTGTCCTCTAGGAGTATTCAACTCTGACAACAAATCTTTGTCAAAAAATACACCACCCACCTTAGTCCCCCCTAAACACACACCATGACACACCTCCTAAGAAAAAAATCAGAGAAATTCTCTCTCTATTTACAGCGGCACATTGTTTCTCCACAATTATGGCCGCTGTCCTCTTCCCCCACCTTCTTTCCTTAGTCTTTTTCCTCCTTTTTCTATCACATCCACCTCCTTGTTTTTCCATTGGAGATGATGAAGCCCTGGTTGAATTTAAAGAATTGTTAACAAATACCTCAGCTCTTGATTCCTCATGGAAAAAAGGAACAAATCCTTGTGACAATAACAAGAAATGGGTTGGTGTTCAATGTGAAAAAAATGTTGTCCAAGGCCTAATTCTTGGTGGATTTGGCCTCTCAGGGGATATTGATGTTGATTCATTGGTTAGGCTTCAAGGCCTTAGGGTGCTCAATCTTGCAAACAACTCTTTCTCAGGGTTCATTCCTGAATTTTTTATGCTTGGTGCCCTTAAGTCTCTATTCATTGATGGGAATCAGTTTACAGGGGAAATCCCTGGAAATTTCTTCTCCAAAATGTCATCTCTCAGGAAAGTCTGGCTTTCGCGAAACAAGTTTTCAGGGAAAATTCCTGATTCTTTAGCTAGTTTGAAATATCTTTTGGAACTTCGCCTGGACAATAATGAATTATCAGGGGCAATTCCATCTTTGTCACAGGGGACTCTGATATCAATCAACCTGTCAAATAATAAATTACAAGGCGAAATCCCACAAGTTTTGTCAAGATTTGGTTCAGACCCCTTTCAAGGAAATCCAGAGCTATGTGGACAACAATTAGGGAGAGAATGCAAGGCTGCAGCCTCAGGGGAAAAATCTGAAGGTTCCAGCATAAAATGGATAATTATAGGCTTAGTGGTTGTTTTGTTATTGGTGGCTATATTTTTTAAGACAAAGCGCAGGGAAGATCATTTCGAAAAGCTTGAAAAAGAGAATCTTGATGAATCTGTGAGCGTGAATATTCCAAGAACAAACAAGAGAAGCATGAGCTTGTGCAACTCCATGCGCTCATCAAGGAGAGGACGCTCGCGAAGTGGCAGCGATATGGGTGATCTTGTGGTGGTAAATGAAGAAAGAGGTATATTTGGATTGCCTGATTTGATGAAGGCATCAGCTGAAGTCCTCGGGAATGGAGGATTAGGATCAGCTTATAAGGCAGTACTGGGAAATGGTTTATCACTCGTCGTGAAGAGGTTGAGGGAGATAAATAAATTGAATAAGGAAACCTTTGATACAGAGATCAGAAAGCTTGCCAAGTTAAGGCATAGGAATTTATTGCAACCATTGGCATACCATTACAGGAAAGAGGAGAAGCTGGTGGTGTCTGAGTACATTCCAAAAGGCAGCCTGTTGTATTTGTTACATGGTAGGACTTCTTTGGCTCTGTATCTTTTTGATGCTAGCTTCTTATCTTCTTTTCATGTGCATAAGTAGAGATTATCTCATGATGGAGATATCATTTATCTTTATCAAATTAGTCTGCCATTTTTCTCAAGTTCCATTGGAACGATTCTTTTTAAGTCTCGCCATTCACATAGTTCATCACAATGTTCTTAGATTGCGCAAAACATTTGCATTCTTGTCATTGATCTTCCCCTCTCCCGGAAAAGAAAAACATAGAAAGTGTGCAACTTTAGATGTTTGAATAAATACAACTGCTTGTGAAGTTCCAGAATTTTGTTAAATCGGACTCTTAGAGTGCCTCGAAGTAATTTTCACATTATATATTTAACATGTCCATTTCGAAGCTGCTTCTATAACATATACTCTTTTTGTGTTAATTTATCATCTGAGGTTTTATCCGGAAATTTCAGGTGATCGCGGCATAGCACATGCTCAGTTAAATTGGCCTACACGCCTGAAAATCATCCATGGAGTTGCCAATGGAATGAAATTTCTTCATTCTGAGTTTGCATCATATGATGTACCTCATGGGAACCTTAAATCTAGCAACATTCTTCTTACTTCAAATAATGAACCACTTCTCACAGATTATGCTTTTTACCCACTAATCAACAATTCACAAGCTGTCCAATCCCTTTTTGCTTATAAATCTCCTGAAGCCATACTAAACCAACAAATCTCGCCAAAAAGTGATGTCTATTGTCTTGGAATCATAATTCTTGAAATTCTTACTGGGAAATTCCCGTCACAGTATCTCAGCAACCAAAAGTGTGGAACCGATGTTGTGCAGTGGGCGCAGTCAGCAGTTGAAGAGAAGAGAGTATCAGAACTGATTGATCCACAAATAGCAACAGCAAAAGATTCTCTTGAAAAGATGGAGACGCTCCTTTATATAGGAGCTGCGTGCACTGAAAGCGACCATGATAAGAGAATTGACATGAAGGAAGCGATAAGGAGGATTGAAGAGATAGAAAGTTAATTTGATGGATTCAACTTCTGAAAGGTGATTGGTTAGCGGGAGGCTCAATTTCTCCGGCTAATGATCAATGCATGAGCTCTACAAAAAATTAGTTGGCAAAGTTCTTGTTTATAACTCTCCATGACTACACAGTAGAGCATCAAGGAAGCCCCGAGACCGAAAGGATTTGTTGTAATAGGAGAGTGAAGGAGCTTAATTTCATTATGTGTTTTATATGTTACATGGATGCTTCATTTGTTTAGAAATATCTATGTCAAACTGGTGTGACATGGTTGCGGATTCTTCACATGCACTACATGTTAGTAAAGCTGAAAATAACTCTATGAAAAATTACACACTCATATCGGATACTAATCATTCATGAGACCATGTAACATAAAGCAACTTCAACTTTTCTCTCTACAGTTTATTGTATTCAGATCACCAATGCAGATATTCTCTATGTACAGCTTCAGTCATACACTTACACATGATCTATCTCTTTGAATTGAATTGAACATGGATGGAATGCCATTTAAAACAGTGACTACATTAAGAGTAAAAGTAAAGACTACCATCTGTGCAGAGCATCAAAGAAGCCCACCTTTTATTAGATCTGCTAGAATATCAAATTTAAAAATACACCATATATTTTCTGTCCTCTTGAAACACTTAAGCATGAAGTGTGCCGAGTTCCGTAAGCTTACAACCTGGCAAAAATCCAGTCCCATTGGAACAGGAGGGTGAATGAAGTTCAATTTTGTCTTGGGATGGTGCCTGTCAACGCTTCCATATCATGCAGTGAAAACATATTCACCTCTACTAAAATCTTATAAGAATTTGAATTTTGGACAGCCAAAAGGAACAGAATTGAATCTGCAATAAGTAATAAACATTGATGAGAATTTTTGATGGATAATGACTGATGACATGCAACATATCAAGTTTATTGTTACCTCTATTTTTCAACTGGCTATGGAATAGGTCAATCATATCTCTAGTACAATAACTGCACAACAAGAATGAACAAAGTTAACATCCTCAAAAAGTTATTGGCCACAAACTAGAAGATTTCATTTATTTAGGTATTCATCCTGAGCTAAGTTGCTCCGACATGGCATTTTAGGTGTTGCACCCGTGTCGACGCGACACTAGTATGGGTGTAGGTACGGGATCCGTACCGGATCTGGTCAAACAATTTTGGGTACTCTAACCATGATGGATGGAAAAATTCGAGACGAGATACAATTTGATTCCCGAAATCAGAACCAAAACTAGGGTAAATTTGAAGAAAATAGGATACCTTATCTAGAAAATCAATCATTTACTTATCTACAACTTAAAAATAAAAAGAAATCTACAGTTTACAAGCTATACATAAGTATTCCACAAAATTTCTCATAATTTAGAGATATTTTTGTATATTTATATTTTGAATTATTTTTAGCTGCATCCCCGCACCCGCACCCATGTCCATATCCCCGAATCTTAAAATTTATATCTCGAAGGATCCTATCTCTAGATCCGCACCCATGTCCGAGCAACTTAGATCCTGAGAGCTTCTTGCAAGTGCTTGTCATGTTAATGTAAATAGTAGATATGGAGATTTATCTAGGTTAATCATTAAACTTACAATCAGAATCAGAGTTGTCCCATTTATTTTTATGCTTCACAGTCTCAAATGCTTCATCTTCACCATCAGTCTCAACTATATTTCCATTGTCCAAATATTTCTTTTTCATGGCAGCCCTTGGACTGGATGCTTGCGGGAATATCTTTTTGTGAATGATGGCCCTCAGAATCTGCAGATAGCATTATTTTTCACGTTTAAAATAAAATCACTAAGTTTAATTTGTGAAAATAAAATCTGCATAAGAACAGAAGATCAATAAAGCTTTTACATAAATAGATGGGGTCTCCCTAAAAATATGTTGATGAAAAGATCAACTATTCACAACCAAAATTTAAATTTAAAGCAACTATAAGTACAGTTCATGATTTAATGTGTCTATCATTGTCTAATTGAACTTTGAGATCCAGGATGATTTATTGATAAAACATGCTTGACCCAGCCAAAACAGATAAATATTGAGGACATTGATCAACATGCTGCAAAGTTTGTAAACATGTAAAAAATAAGAAAAGGGAACAGTAGACAATATTAATGCCTACCATATGCTCCTTCTTATTTTTTATCACACACTTTCATTTTAAATCTTTTACGAAAAGAATGACACCTTTCTATATTTAGGTCTTTTTAAATTTAAACTTTCCATTTTACTATTAGTGACCTACCCTTATAGCCACATAAACGTAATGGCATGTTTAGAAGTACAAGTTTTAAGGATACTTTAGGCATATTGCATAAGTAGTTCTTTCTCAAGCGATGTCCCAATTAAATACAACTGTATGAAATGAAATGGAGGGAACATAATAACATATCTTTTATAAGGTTTTTTTAAAAGTTGATAGAGTGTACAAACCTTCTCCAATCTTAATTTCTCTAACTTTGACTGAGAAATGGGATCTCTCAAAAGAGGGGGAGAAGGGACTGTGAATCGACCTCTGCAGGAAAATGCCTTCTCAAGGAGATAAGACAATGTCTTTTTACTAATGCCACTGTTTGTGTTTTCCAATTGAACTTCTTGCCTTTTGCCACATACAATACTGTTACTCTGCTTGAGATTATTCTCTTTATCAACTTCTAATCTTTGTAGACAATCAAAGAATTTCTCAAGATCCTTCGTCGAACCCTTAGCCGGATCAGGGGAAGTACTATCACAGAGTAGTAGTTTTAGTTCTTTTTGAAGTTGTCCAACTTCTTCAGGTGTAAGCTTTTCTAGATGATCAGGGCAGGAAGGCTGATGATTCAAGTTCCCAACATCTTTATTAAAACTCTTATTTCCAAATGTCCCAATAGCAAGAAGTTCAGTAGGCCAGTCATTGAATTCTTCTCTACAGGGTTGATGCAACATATGATCTATTGTAAGGACAAAACAGTTATTAGAAACACACGAAGGATCAAAACTCCTGAAGAAATCAGAGGAAATCATGAATGCTTACTTGTAACTGTCACTGATTTTTTTTGGTTGGTTCCTTGCTTTCCATTCTTCTTGCTTTGGAACCAATTAAAGATCTGCTCAACATAAATGCTAAAATTTTTAGGTAAAGAATACACACCTTATTCTTTGCTATGCAAGTGTTAAATTTGTCCAACTTAATTACCTTCATTCTTGGAGAAGTGCAGACTATGGCAGGTTGGAAGGCTCTGTCAATGCGATTAGGGCGGGCTTATAGGAATGTTTGTTTGAACACAAATCCCGTAGGACAAAGGAAGCTGAGCTTCTTGACTTTTATATAGAGATGGGATAGCACGAATTTCCAGAGTCATTGCCAAGCTGGAAGCAATGGTTCAATTTCCTACACGGCTGTACCTGCCGACTTTTTTAGTGTCTTTTTTACATGGCATTTTCTTCAACTTAAGAAGGGTTTTCTTAGTATAACATGCAAATCGAAACTCTAGCTACATAAGAGATGCACCACTTGTTAATGAACTATTAGGATTGAATTTTTTTTTAAAGATAACTAGGTTGAAGTAAAGGTGTCTAATGGGCCGGGTCAAACCATTTACAGCCCTGTCATGACCCAATTTAGAATTGTGACCGGCGGTAACAAGTAAGTGCTCCCAAGAAAGCCTTATCGGTATTCTACAGAAAAACGGACAGAGTTTTCCATGTTTTTGGACTATCCAAAAAATTTCATGTCTCAAATCAACAATCAACCATCCTAATATCAAGCCAGACAATCAACAACTTATCAATTAACCAAAACAAGTCTCCACCATTACTAATCAATCCACTAACAACCAGAAATACTAATTTATCTCCAAATTCGATAAGAAAGTGCAATACTTATCACAAGTCTATAATAACGAAAGAATACTCATGATACTAAAAGAATGACTATGGAGCGACTCTAAGAGTTCCAATAAAAGACCATAATAATAAATAAACTCTCCGCCTACGCGAACAAGTGCGAGGCTCACCAAGAAATATCAACCTGTGCGCTCTAATGAAATCCTCGCCTGCGTCAACTGCTGTTTCTGAAAAAAATACAGCGGAGAGTGAGTCGCTAGCTTAGTGAGTAATAACACTTAACCACAACCGTTTTTTTTTTTGGGGACAAGTCAGAAAACATGCTAGTATATTAAACAGAAAATATCATAAAAATGCCCTTTCAGAAATAATAAATAATTTTCTGTCTCATCATGTTTTTCTTATAGTATATAATACAATTGACAATTCAGTAAGCTCTGTAACCACTGTATAATATCAATATTCATATTTGGGAGGTTTCAATGAACGGATCATATAATCGGTATAATTGTGGACTTCATTGCACGAAGTCAAGTATAACGATAGTCTACTCGAGGGAAATCAGTAACGGTATGCTAGTTCTACCTTCCCACTAGCGAGGGCTGTAATGGTAATCGGTAATTACAAGGTGCACCAGGTCTAACGAACCGGCCATTAGCTACGGGATCCTTCAAAATCTCCTCCTATTTATACTTGTCTCTGTAATACTTATATACTCATAGAAAAATATTTTAAAATAATATATGGCATTTCGGTTCTTATCAAATCATGAAATTTCGTTTCGATAACGATAAATCATTTCTCAAGTAACGGTAAAACATATTCAGTAACTATGAGAATATTCAGAATAACAGTAATCATCTCAAATAAATATAGTGGTGTCATATCAAGTAAAGGACTCGTCTCACGTGCAATTTCAAAGCAGTCGGTAATATGTTCATATTTAAAATCATATGTAAATCATGCTAGTTGTAGAAACCCAAACTGCGGTAAGGTCACTACTCACCTCTTGATTCCAAATTGCCAGAACTCGACTTCTAATCGATCCAAATGCTCAATTTGCGTGCAATCTATAAATCAATATAGATCTAGTGTTACCACTCTTGAACTCTATAATCTATTTCACTTTCAGTAGAATTTTTCCCCCCGCTTATAACCAACATCTTAGTTCCACTTTACCACATCCATTAGACTATGTATCATCTTTATAAAAAAAGGAAAATAACTATCTATCACTAATTTATTCTTCCAAACATAAAATCTTTGTACTACTCCTTTACTAAATTATAGAGGGAAATTGCGGAATTAGTAATAATAAGTTTACATCTTGTATCCTCTTATAACCATTTACAGCCCAGACCGAACCGGGAGTTGACATTGTTGTTACTGGCTTTCATTGGTATCCCAAGACTTTGAATAGGTTAATTTGGTTGATTGGAACTTATGTGAAAATCTTGGTTTTCATTCGGAATTTCTAAGTGTGATTCAGACGCATTCGGAGAAGTTTGAATGTTTGAAAGCTAGTAAATGGATTCGATCTTCGATTCTTGGTTTTGATGTTATTATTCATGTTTTGAGATTTTGAACAAGTTATAATAAGATATTTGTACTTGTTGGTATGATTGGACGGAGTCCCGATGGCTCGGGTGTGTATTGAGTCATTGGTTGAGAAACTAGTTACGTTAAAAATTTGGAGTTTGACCATGGCCAACATCCGGTCAAGATAAACTCTTTTTATTTTTTTGAGTGCATGAGCAGGTTTGTAGCGTATTTTATGATTGAAATACATATATGATTTATGTCTAGAAGGTTCCAGATGAGTTTCAGGGTAGTTTTGGATCATTTCTGTGGAGTTTTGGATTGTTGATGCTGATACTTCGCAATTGCAAACTTTTGGTGACAATTGCGAACTCCGCATTTGCGATATTCTGGTCGCAATTGCAAATATGTGGTCACAATTACGAAATCCACAATTGTGAACCAGTGGCCGCAATTATGAACATTCGTAATTGCGACCTTTTGATCGTAAATGCATCATATGTAGCTGGGTTAATAGTTGGAATTTCGGGATCTTAGCTCCCTCTTTCATATTTTGAACCTAGATTTGTTGAGGGGTGGTTGTTTCTTGGGGATTTTTATACAAGCCAAGAGGCTAAGTTGTTTCTACCTAATTGTGATTATATTTCAAGAATCTACATGGATTTCTACACCAAAAATATGGAATTTCAATGTGAAATTTGGGATTTTTGACTAAATTTTAAGAAAGCGTATTTTGAAAATTTGAGTACCGATTTGGACTCTGTTTTAAAATCTAATCATATATTTGGACTTGAAAGGTTATGGATCATCGAATTTTAGTATTGGTTCCAGGTTTCGGGCACGCGGGTCGAAAATTGACTTTTGTTGACTTTTTAAGAATTCTTCAAAGATCGAGTCTCAATTGATTAGGATTACTTTCTATGGCATTGGTTGACTTTATTGATTGATGACTTGCTAGATTAGGTGATTTCTCGAGAAAACGCGATTTTGGAGTTTTGGACTAGTCTGGATGAGGTAAGTGCCTTGCCTACCTTTGTTGGAAATTTTTTTCTAATAAATGATATTGTTTGCTATATGAGGGAGTGATGCATATGCGAGGTGACGAGCGTATATACATGTGACATGGTTATTCATGCTCGGGAGGATTATATACTTTTTTGTGCCTTGTTGAATCTTGTGAACTTCTTGACTTATGTCTTACTTGATTTCTATGATAACATGGTTACAAATATACATGATAAAGATCAAACTTTTAGCTTATTACATCTTAAATGAATATGATTTGAAATTTTTTTGAGACTGTTGATGTACTTAATTCGGCCGTAGCAATACATATATAATAAACACATATCTATATATGTTATTCTTGTGATACTTGGGCATCCATATTAATGACGAAGAACATATTTAAATTTTGTCGAGATACTTGGAAATTATGTTTCTTAAAATATTGGCTCGCCTATTAGTGCAAAAGCAGTGATTATCTCTCACGGGGTGCATTATATTTAATCATTCTTATTGATGTTAATTTTGCTTTATACCTTGCTTGGTACTGTTATATATGCTTGGTAAGGAAGAGTGAATTGCATGAAGGGTATTTCCGTGCTTGTAAGAAAGAGTGATTTATGAATGAAGGGTGTTTTTATGCCTCTTGACATTATTATAACACGAAGAGTGTTTCCATTGGTTAGGAAGAATGATACGATATTTGCACGAAGGGTGTTTTCGTGTAAGTGAGGATGAGAGTTCATGGCACGTGCAAGCGAGGACGAGAGTCATGCATTATAATGTGTTATTTCTCCCTCACATATACATTTATGCCTTTCCCTTGAGTTGTTATTGTCGCACCTATGCTTTCTAACTTGTTTGTTATTCTTACGTCTATGCCGTACCCCATATTTGCTATTATCCTATCTATGCCTTCTATCCCGTGTTATCGCATATACGCTTTCTTCCTTGACTTGTTGTTGTTACATCTATACCGTCTATCTTTCTTGTTACTATCATCTACAGGCCTCTACCTTGTTTGTTACTAACGTATATATGCCTTCTACCTTGCTTGTTGTTGTTACATCTATGTCTACTACCTTCGTTGTTGTTGTTATATCTATGCCTTCTATCTTATTGTTTCTATTAGCTATATGCCTTGTACCTTGTTTGGTGTTGTTATACATGTGATTGGTGAGAAGAGTGTTACGGAGGGTGTTTCCATGATTGGTGAGGATACGATAAATGTACGAAGGTATTACTGTGCTATTTGATTCGATATCCTGAACATACCTTTTTTTATTATATAGGTTTGATGTTATGACTTATTGGTTCGCATATGTTATTTCTTCCTCACAAACTTTATTTAGTGGAGAGGTTTGGTTATGACATTTGTGAAACATGTTTAGTATTTCTTTATTTTGTCTTTTTATTATTACTTGCCTTCCTCCTTATTATTTCTCATGCTTACGAACTTCACATGTTATATTAAGTGAGTATCTTTTTATTTATAAACCTCGTCACTACTACACAAAGGTTAGTTAAGACACTTACAGAGTACATGGGTTCGGTTGTAGTCGTACTATGCTTCTGCACCTTGTGTGCTTATATTTGGAGATAAGTAGTTATGGAGTTCTAGGGCGAGCATTGAAGACCACAACGCTCCAGTCACCTACAGTTAATTGTTCATAGAAGTATAAGATTTTGAAGTTCTGTTTATATAAACTTCAAACAGATGTTGTACTATTTCTTTTTAATAGAGTTGTATTCTTAATCTTAGTAGCTCATGACTTGTACTACTGGTCCTTGAAATGGTTGTATTAGATTCTTTTGCAGTTTCACTTATTATTACTGGTTATTTGTCATTATAGTTGTAACTTATAATGTTTGGCTTACCTAGCGGGTTGGTTAGGTGCCATTACGACTTGGTGGTGATTTTTTGATCGTGACAAGTTGGTATCAGAGCTCTAGGTTCATAGGTTCTACAAG